AGTAGCTGGAACTACAGGCATGTGCCACCATGCCCGGCTAATTTTTTCTATATAGGTTTTTAGTTGTCCAAATAATTTCTTTCTATTTTTAGTAGAGACGGGGTCTCGTTCTTGCTCAGGCTGACCTTGAGTGATCCACCGCCTGGGCCTCCCTGAGTGCTGGGATTACAGGCGTGAGCCACCGCGCCCGGCCTAGAGCCTTTTTTAAAAAGTAAATTTTTATCCATTGTTGGGCTAGGGTATACACTAATGTCAAAAGGTTTCTGCCTTTCAGTTTCTATCAATTAACGCGAGTAAAGTTGGCTAGCTGTTTGTAAACAATATTCTGAAATGTTTCGTTAAAGTAAGCCGATGTTAAACATATTTTTATATAAATACGTCTTCACGGAGTCAAGCTAGAGATGAACGAACACTGCAAGGGGCGGTGCTGGAGGGGGGAACACGCTCATTGACAACTTCAGTTGCATGTCAACGGTTGCTATGGTGACCGCTACGTCTTCCCATTGGTCGCTGCCGAGAGTACTGCGGTTCCTCTGGCAGACTTCATTGGTTACCGTTCTGCAGTCGCCCGGGCCTGTCGAGAGCCGCAAGTGAAGTGTCGCAAAGCAGAAAGAAGGCGCGAGTCCCGACTGCACACTGAGGAAATCTAGGCAGTAGAGGCTGCTATGGCGAACGCTCCGTGGGCCGAAGTCTGTGAGAAATTCCAGGCGGCGCTGGCCTTGTCACGGGTGGAATTGCATAAAAATCCGGAGAAGGAACCGTACAAGTCCAAATACAGCGCCCGAGCGCTGCTGGAAGAGGTCAAGGCGCTGCTCGGCCCCGCGCCTGAGGACGAGGATGAGAGGCCTGAGGCCGATGACGGCTTGGGTGCGGGGGACCACGCCCTGGGGCTGCCAACCGAAGCGGTGGAGGCCGAGGGGCCCATCGCCCAGCAGGCGGTGAGGCTGGCGGTTATTGAGTTCCACCTCGGCGTGAACCACATCGACACTGAGGAGCTGTCGGCGGGGGAGGAGCATCTGGTGAAATGCCTGAGGCTGCTGCGCAGGTACCGGCTCTCGCACGACTGCGTCTCCCTCTACATCCAGGCGCAGGTGAGAGCGATCCCGGCCTGCCGCTGTGCAGCGGGCACCGCGGGGCTCCGGCGCCGAGCCAAGGCCCTGCCAAGGCCACAGGCAAACGTAATAAGACGCAGTTTGTCCCCAAGCTTTGGCATGAGTCCCAGAGAGGATCGTACGGCTTTCAGAAAGGCCAGTCTTAAGGACTTACTGCCTTGTAACTAGATCACCCACCATCGGCTTCCAAACTCCCTCTCCATCCTCATCGCCCATTCCAGCAACATCACTTCCTGCTTCACTTAGTCGTGGGCAACGCATTGGTTTCCGAGACCCTCCTACATCGTAATGCCCTTTCCAGCTCTTCTCCACCAGTCCAAATCCTGTTCATTCTAGGAACTAGAAAAAATGAGGCAACATAGCGAGATCTTGTTTCTACAAAAAATTTAAAAAATTAGTAGGGCCTAGTGGCCGGCCCTGTAGTCCTAGCTCCTCGTGTAACCGGTTTTATAAACATAAATCCTTTCCTCCTTAACAATCCTCGTCATCTCAATAATTGACTTTCTGTGCTGAGGACAACATTGAATCCCCCTTGTGGGTTCATTAACACACAGGTTTAGGCAGGAGGATCGCTTGAGCCGGGATTTGGAGGTTGCCATGAGTTTGTGATCGTGCCACTGCACTCCAGTCTAGGGGACTGAGCGAGATCTAAAAAAAAAGAAAAAATCCAAAGTAATTTAAACCTTAAGATCTCAAGGAAATGACAAAGAATGGCCAGAATACTTTTTTCTTTTTCTTTCTTTCTTTCTTTTTTTTTTTTAAATAGAGACAGAGTCTCCCAGGCTGGAGTGCAGTGTGGCCCTATCATAGCTCATTGCAGCCTCGAACTCCAGGGCTCAAGCGATCCTCTCGCCTTGGCCTTCCAAAGTGCCGGAATTACAGGCGTGAGCCAACGTGCCTGGCCCAGAGTACTTAATTCCAAATAAATGTCTGAAATCTTCAGTTTCCATTCTTGCCACATTGATTTGTTTGCTCTCCAGGGAATTCCTGCCCATTCTTCAATACCCATCTGAAAAAATTACCTCATTCTTTTTTTTTT